AAATTTTAGAAACCTAAATGCACATTCATGATCACTGTTTTAGTATTAAAACCCGGTCAAAATCTAAATAAAACCAAAAAGGGACACTAAAGTAATATCTCCRAYGCATATTAAACGAAAGTTAACTAAAAACAAATAAAAACTGAATGCAAAAGCTTAAACTAGATGCAAATTGCAATTATAAACTAATATGAATATTGCATGCATAAAATCTAAATGACAAAGCTAACTAAGAACAACGAAATAATTGCATAAATAAAAAGGAACGTGGAAGATGATACCCAAATTYGKATGAGAACCAATCGAAAATCGAGATCCAATGCCAAATCGATCTAATGTCTAAAAAACATTTGAATAATGAAAAATTCTCCTAAAACCATATAAATATTATGGCAAAAAGACCAAAAGGTCCTCCAAAAATCGGTCTACGGGCACCGTTCACGSTTGTGAAGAAATCCTTCACATCCATAAAAGGCGAACAGAGAAAATGACCAAACTCAAAAACAATGTTTTCAACAGTAAGCTTGTGTTTCCACCGACCTATGGATGGATCTATCCGTTCATAAGTGATGATCTTGACGTTTTAAAGTTAAACRTAAATGATCAAGATTTTCTGAATACTTTCAGATTGCCTCGTTGACGTCCTTTTGCAAAACGCAGGATGGTTCCTCTTGAAAATTGTGAATGTAGCCTAAATCTAAAACCATTCTAAAACCTATATAAACCATTCCTTCCCACAAATCTAAAACGCATGACCTCTATCTTTCTCTCTCTAAACACTACTAATGGGACTGTCAAGCCATTCATACTCTAAAGCTTGTGCACTTGCTCTAACAATTTCATACCAAACATAACAGTCGAAAGTCCAYTGAAAATAAGTTCTACAAAATATGATTTTTATTTAATTTTTGGAATTCACACTACCTCAAAATGCCACTAAGGCAACAAATGAAAAATGTTGCTTAAGAGGAGTTTATGTGTTGCCTAAGGCTTAGGCAACAAGGCCAYGTTGCCTAAGAAGTGTTTCCTTCTCAACGTTGCATAAGAACCTAAGTTAACTTTGACTGTTTTTTAAGATTTTTTGGGTGGTCAACATTTTACTAAGGCAACCTAGGCTAAGACATTGCTTAAGATAGTTTGAGGTAACATACAATCATTTATACGTTGCCTAAGGTCACATTTAGGCAACATATATCCATACTTTGCCTAAGAGGAAACTTAGGCAACATATAATAGCCTTTGTGGCCCTCCGAATGACCAGAGCCCCTCTGGTTTTGGACGCTAAGTGTCAATACAACTAGAGTCCCTTTGGTTGAACTATGCTCTGAAAGACTATCTTCTG